TCTTTCTTCTTTGTTCGGGAGACGATTTCAGAGGGAGAGCCGACTTCGCGAGGTCGAGGAGTGAAGAGAGATTTTAGGCGCGTTCCAAGAAAACCTAAGGTATTGTTTGGATTGGAGGTGTCGGACGGAGAGGGAGGGGAAGGGATGGGGACGGATGGCAAGGGAGGAGGAGTGAGGGAGGCTGCCTCCTTCCTCCTTTGGGTTTCCAAACAGATAGGGGGAGGGAGATGGACTGATTGTAACTCCCTTCAACCCCCCTCAACCCTCCTCAAATTTTGTAGATTTGCAATTTGTATAATTTGGGGAGTTTAGAAGGAATTTGAGTGAGTATTTACATTAAGTTAATATAATTATAAAATTAATTTTAATTTTTTTATTATATTTTTTTTATTACAAATTTAAAAGATAAATTTGTAAATTTAAAATTAATTTAAATCTTTCTTTTTTTTTTTACCTTAATTATTCAAATATAAAATAATACAATTCTTTCTTTCCCTTTCACTTCCTCATTTTTATTTATTCAAATAAAATTAACACAAATCATTTCCTTTTATTTTTTTTCCTTCCCTTTCTTTTCCTCCCCCTCCATTTCCTTTTATTTTCGTCCATTCCCTTCCCTTCCCTTCCCTTCCCTTCCCTTTACTATTTTCTATCCAAACAAGGTGTAAGAGACAGCAAGGAGATATCCGGTGCTTCGAATCTATTTTACATTCGTTGAGCACGCTGTGGTCGACGGTCGAGATTCATTGATAGAGAGAGAGGAAATGAGATCTAGGTTTACCAAGGTTTTTTTTTTATTATCCTCTCGATATCTGATAATTATATTGAGTTTCGATTAATTCAGAATTGAATCGCATTGAATCCCATTAATAAGAAACTCTTCTAATGCTTATTTTTTTATTCACAAGAATTAAATTTGAGATTTTACTTAAAAGGAATCAAACTCCTTGCACTCGAATCAACATGTTCTTAATCTAGATTACCAAGTTATAAGGCTTGTTTTTAACTTTTTATTTCTTTTATTAATGATTTAAATCTTTTAAATTATAAATATTAATAGTTATCCATTATTAAATATCAATTATCAATTTTAAATTAAAATTTGTTTAACTTGTATTTTTATATCACAGTTTAAATGTATTAAATATATTTTTTATTATAAATTTATATTAAAAAATAAAAATTAACTTTTAATTTATTAATTATCTAATTTAATTCATTTGATAGTAAAATTAATATCAATTTTTACATTTTTTATATTCATTTTCTATTAAAAAAAAATCCTCTTCACTTATGCGAATTAGAAAATTCCTTTAAATTATTTCAAAAATACTATTTCAAACAGAATAGTAAATACAAATACAAGGATTGCCGGTTGCTTGTTGGAGTGGGGTTACTTTTCACCCACCGCAGTGAGCATTTTACATTTATGTAAACGAAATCGCATAAGCGCCATCGTTTGTCTTAAAGTAAATGTTTTTATTTTTATTTTTGTTTTTATTTTTATTTTTTGAGTGAATGTATTCTTTTCTCGATGGAAATTTTATATTAATTCTTTAAAAAAAACCTATTAAAATCTTTCAGTTCTTGTAAGGCATAATCATTCTTTAAGCCCCTCAACTCACCCCATTTTGCTTGATAAGTTCTCAAACCAAAAAAAAAAGCAAATAACTCCTTCAACTTGGACATTGCAGCAAATTAGCACTAATAGCTTATGCAATTAGATGTAACTCTCTTACGGTAGTTGAAAAAAAAAAAAAAAACGGGTTGCATTAAACGAAAATGACTTACTGTAACTTAGTCTTGAAATTAGTTAAATTTCAAACAAAATAAGTCTCTAAACTTCAACAAAATATTAAAAATAACCAATTCTTTACCATTGCTTATTCAACAAAATAATGTTAATTAATTAAAAAAATGTTCTGCATTACATATATATCAATTTTTATTTAAATTGACTAAAATCACATTAATTTTTTAGAAGAATGTATGAAGTTCAATAGAATGGAGAGGTAATCATGAGAAAATGCAGTTATTAAGATGTTTAGTTGAAGAAGTTGAAGTGAGTGACAAAGAAAAAGAACTTGAGTAATGAGTGGTAGATTAATCCAAAAGTCTTGAAAAGCTTTTTCTCATTCTATACAAGAGTAGAGGGGAAGAAAAAAAAAAACAAGTGGTGAAGTTCTTTAATTCTCCTTGGACAATAGTTCCTCCTCCATTGAAGCTTAAGTTTGAGGAATAGTCTTTGAAGACCTCCAACCATTTGATTTTATGGCAGGAAAGTTGTCTATCCAGTGCCTAGCTAACTACCATTGTTTGTTTCAACTACTTTGTTATTTTGTTCAACCGAAAGTTTGAGAGCCATACAAAAATTTGCAACTAATTCCAAAATCCATGAAACCCCATGACCATGTAGCTTCACTTATTTTTGAATATTTATTAATTTATGGGTATTGATGTGAAAATTAATATGAATTTGATTAATTTTAATTGAAATTGATACTCGTAGATTTATGGGTTTTAATTGATTAACATGATTTAATTGAAAGAGTAATGCCAAACTCAAATTGATAATAAAAGAAAGTTTAACCACTAAAAAAAAGTGTTATCTTTAACATTTAGTTGAAGTTTAGAACCTATTTTGTTTGAAATTTAATTAATATATGAACTAAGTTACGATTGGTCATATTCTTTTAATGCATTTCGTTTGTTTTAACTACTGTAATAGTTACAACTAAAGCCAGTAGTTAATTATGGGCTAATTTGCTCCAAGATCCAAGTTGACTGTTGAAGGGCTTATTTGCTTATTTTTAACTTTGAGGGCTTATCAACTAACTTGAGATAAGTTGAGGGGCTTATGGTTTGGCCTTTTTGTTATCATTTTCAACTCCCCCATTTTTTTTTTTAAATTTTACATTTTATTTTGGATTTTTTTGGGTAATTAAAAAGGAGCTAAGATTCTTAAACAGCCTACATATACATTGTAAATTAAAGAAAAATTATATAATTATAATATCACTTAATTTTATAAATTTATAAGGTTAAAATACCATTTTGGTCCCTCAACTTTGCATCTTGGTGAAAAAATTGTCCCTCAACTTCAAAAAAATACCAAAATTATCCTTAAACTTTTATTTTTGACACCAATTTGATCATTCTGTCAATTAAATAGACAGCTAGCACGTTAAGTTGCCAAAAAAGTTTTTTTTAAACAAAAATATTGACCTGGAGAAGATAACACATGTAAATTGATGATATGGCACTTTTTGTTTGTTTACATGGCATTTTTAATTTTAACAAATAAATAGGGAATCATTTATTATTAATTAATTAAAGTTCCCATAAAAAAAAAATTAAAGTCATTTCCAAAATTAACCTTCTTCTTCACTCTTCCCTTCTTTCTCTCTCGTCCTTGGGCCATCACTTCTTCTCTATCTCTTTTGACATCTCTTCCCTTTCCATTTTTCCAATTCATCCCATTCCCCATTTCATAAATTTAACATGTGACGTTAAGTAGAAATGACTAGAGCGTTGTTCTATTTTTTTCCAATCTTAAAACCTCTATCGAGGGTCAACTTCTTCACCAGACAATCCACGCCATTAGATTAATTACTACCTTGAACAAGAAACAGATTCGAGTGCCAACAACTGAACCGCCTTGAACTACCTTGAACCATGACAATCTAGTGTTGGAGATCAACTATTGCAGCTTCACTCTCAAATGGAAATGATTTAGATAGTCTAAAACTAACCGTGGAAGTAGGTGAAACAAAGAGTATGGAGATTGATTTAGGAAGAACCAAAAGTGGAGAGGAAAAGGAGAGAGGGTTTGAGACAAAACAAATTCATTTAGGGTTAGTTCTCAACCCTGATTTGGGTTCTCGAAAACCCATATCTGGGTTGAGAACTTAACAAATTTGAGGTTACATATTCAATTTTGGAAGAGGAAGATCGAGAATTTTTACAAAAAAATGCTTTTTTTTTTTTTTTTTGTTTATGCAAAGAAGGTCCATGGCTAGGTTTTAATGGAGATCAAGAAGGGAGAATCAATAGAGTTGAGAAGTGGAATTGTAATATGCTTTCAAGTTTTAGAGTTTGCAAAGGTAGGGGAAAAGGAAAGGTAAAATAGAGAGAAAGTGAAAGAGGAAGAAGAGATCTCTTTTTCTTTTTTTTTTTTCTCTGATGTGGATGAAAAAAAGGGGATATCATTATTTTTAAATTAAATAAAAATACCAACTCATAAAAAAAGGGATGGCCAACCATGTTTTTTTTTTTCCATGTCATTAGTTAAGAAAAAAAGAATTGATTTGTTGGTAATTTAATTGCCACATGTCCGTTTAACTGATGAAAGGACCATTTTGGAACTAAAAATGAATGTTTAAAGATAATGGTACTTTTTAAAGTTCAGGGACAATTTTGGTACCAAGATGAAAGTTGAGGGATCAAAATGGTATTTTAACCAATTTATGATATAATATATTATTAAATAATTTATTTATAATATTATATATTTACTTCATATTATATTTTATTTATTTAATATAATATTATATTATAATTTAAAATTTAAAATTTTATATCATATTATAACTATAATATTATTGAAAATTAATTGCGATTTACCACCTTTTTTTAATCATAATCTAGCACACCGCTTTGTTAGGCCAATTCTAGAACTTGGCATTTTCCGTTTCAGCCTCGCTTCTCTCTATTCTGAAAAGATTTGTGGGTGCGGAAACCGGCATTAACATGGGGTCGATGCTTGGTAACTGGCCCTCATTCGATCCTCACAACTTCAGCCAGCTTCGACCCTCTAATCCGTCCAATCCTTCCGTGAGTATTTCAACTTCTTAAACCCAAATCCATACATATCCAGACATTAATCTTTCTTGTAATGATTAATGAAAATAGAGAAAAGCTATCATCTTTTTGGCTTTTAGGTGTGATCTGTTGCATGTTTGTCCAATTTCCAATCCATCAAGGAATGCCCACATGCAGTTGGATTATCTTTATATATAGAGTATAGTGGACTAGCGGTGAAAAAGGTTACATCTTTTAGATCCTTTCAGTTATCGTTTCTGGGTGCACCCAGTTAGGATGTTGTTCTGTTCAGGAATTTTTGAGGCTCTTGGAGAAGCAATTGAATTAGAATTTGTTGAATTTCTATATGAAGTTTCTGAATTGGACATTAGTAACATGATTAGTTTTTTTTGGCAGATTTTGAGTAAGTTCTTTTTGTCTTACAATGGATCTTCTGTTTCCTGATGTGTAAGGATAGAATTAAGTGTGGCAGCTCAAAAATCTGATTCTGCCATAGTTTGGTAATGTTAGTGTTTTTGTTGGTAGATTCATCCAGACCTTGGATTATTGTGTGGAATTAAAATTAGAGCAATACTGTAATTGTGGTTACATTGCTATATTCAGCGTTAAAGTAAAATTTTCAGTTACTCAATGCAATTGCTTATCATTATCTATGTGCTAAATGTCAAATATCTCTGATTCTATTTGCAGCATGAACGTTAGTATTGAATGTTTTTTTGCACAAGATAATTTGCTTAGTTTCCTAAAACTGAGTGGTAGCTTGAATCTTCTACATCGAATTCATGACCTGTAGACATGCATAAAAACCAGGTTTCCTTTCAGACTAGACATGCATATTTGTGTAAATGTACAGATTTTCTTTTCAATACAGCTTACCATAATCACTCAAACTAGGTTTCCTGATTCTTTTAGCTTTGAGGTATTGATCTGGTGATGGAGCTGCCATTTTTCTGATTTTTTTCATTTTTGAGCTTTAATTGCTAAAATTTACATAAAGCACTCCAGCAGCCCTGAGCATTCTAATTGAACCCTTTGAGTTTGAGCTCATGCTGCCATGGCATTGGATGGAGTTTGTGCTGCAATCCTCCCAATTTGACTGGAACAATGTAGTTTGAGACAAACTAGCTTCTTACTTTGCTTTTGTTTGCTGAGAATATGATCTCTCACCTTATAATCTCAGTCTTATCAAGCAATGGGTGCTTCAGTTTCATATTCATAACTGTATTTTTACTTCTGGCCTTTTGGGTAGAAATTGGCGCCTGCCACCTATCGGCCTACTCACAGCCGGACTATTCCACCACCTGATCAAGGTAATGCATGGATCTTGTTACTTTTTGGAAAATGTTTTATTTTTGGGTAAAATATGAGATATTTCTGTCATTGCAAATTGTTCATTGCAAATTGTTTATGCCATGAATATGTAACTTATGGCTTGCCACTGCATCAGACTCGCTTTTCATGGTGATAGAAACTGTTTGATAATGCCTTGTTATGCTATCATTTACTGGTGTTTTTATTTAACTAGAAACATTTTAATCTTGAAGCTGATGTTGAGTCTCTTTTGGCAGTAATAACTACTGAAACCAAAAATATTCTGATAAGAAATTTTTACCACCACACAGAGGAGAAGGTTAGTAATTCATTTATGATTTTTAACATGTTTTCACAGTCCCAGAACAATTAACAATTTTTAGGGCCAGAGAAAATGTGCATTAAGCCCTGTTTGTACATTGAGAATAGCATGTGGATAACACCTTTGATTTCTTACTGTTCTTCTAATTGCAGATGAGACCAAAGAGAGCTGCCTCTGAAAATTTAATACCGGAGCATGGAAGTAAACAACCTAGACCTTCACCCTCACATTAGATTCATTTTAGTTCTTTTATATGTATGTAAATATTTCTTGCCATGGCAAATGTGTTTTAGAAATTGAGAAGCAACTAGCTTGCTCATTGTTGTAAACTGTTTAGCCACACAGGTACTCACGTCTGGGTAATCCCATTGAAAACGGATTCTATGTATTTCTCCACATTCATGTGTTGGTTTCTGTTGCGGCAGTTGTGTGTGTGTGTGTTTTTATCTTTTTGGAGGGATGGGGGGACTGGCCAAAGAAAAAAGTTAATAGTGTTGGTGTTAGTGGTGCTTAGCTAAGAAAATGTAATAAGAATTTACATTTTACCAAATTAGTGGTGATTAGCTATTGACCTCTTGACAATGACTCATAAATTAAGACTCTCCATAAGTATGGTTGTAGTTTTTTATTAGAAAATTTTATTTTACAAATTGAACTAATATAAATTGTAAAATAGAAATTGTTTGATGGGAGGAGAGTTTTATTATCAAAGGATTTAACTATCATTAAATTATTAGTGTTTTATAATTTGGATCAGTCTAAATTATATAATATT